CGACCCAGGCGCCGGGCTTGTCTTCTCTGGAGAGGGGGATCTGGCGTTGGTAATTATCCCAGGAACCGACCAGGTGGACGGTTTTGACATTGGACGAGGTCCGGAGGGAGAACTTGAGTTGAACTGCGGCCATGATGAATCAAAGGGATCGAGAAATTGGAAGTTTAAGAAGGTGTCGTCGGAGCACAGGATCAAGAGCTTTGTGATCGTTTGAACAACTCCACACTACCGGAGTGTGATTGTCAAGATTGATTTGAAGATTGGACTCTGGATCTATAGGGAACCGGTCCGACGATAGAAAGAAGAAGATTTGAGCGAGATTATATTAAAGTTGAGGTTGTAGATATCTGAACAGCGAAAGCAAGTCGACCGGCGACAAGGGAAACTGTTTTGAAGTTGTAAAATTCGTCGAAATCCGTAGCAAGGCAGAATCTCAAAGAGCACAGCTCGTTTGAGGGTAAACAGAGTAGAAACGAATTAGAATAGTATAGATAAAGAAAGAGAAAAAAACGAAGAAAAAAAACAAAAGCCAATTGGTCCAAGCAACCAGTGCTCAGGATCATTCGAATTGGAGATGAAAAAAAAAAAAAAACAAAACACTCGCTGAAGAAGAAAAAAAAAAGAGAAGTCCGCCTTGAGGTGGCTATGAGGTTCTTTTAAGCAGGTCGATTCGATCAGCAGCAACGGAATTCCTGGAGTTGGGCGGGTAATTGACGATATTGGTTGGTTCGATGCAGGTTGCACTGTGATGTGCTGCCCTTATGGCTGTGGCCAATGACCAACTGGGATTTGACGCTTGCGCTCGGACCGAAGTCAAGAGTTTTCTGGACGTCCAAGAGGATTCGACATCTGAAGAAAACGTTCTCAGCCTCATTGAGTTGGTTGTAGAGGGGGTCTGTGTTGTCATGTCTCGACTGAGAGCCTTGAGATCAGACGGTCTCAACTCCCACCTGGGCTGGAAGTGAATGGAAACGTGGGAAGATAGATTTCATGCCAACCCAGAGAGAACCGGCAAGACCCGATTTCGCTCCGGTGGATGTACTCCCCGAGATGAAAATATCCGAATCAGAAACGTCACCAGTCCTTCCCGGTTGAAAACCTGCCGAGACTAAGACGCGGGATGAGATGCACTAGACCTAGTCAATCACAGGCTGCAGGCTGACAGGGATGGGGACAGATGTCGTGCCATATGGATGAAGTGCCGACCTCTCCTTTCCGATTGATCCTGCCGTTAATTTGCCTGGTCTGCCTTGATCCGATGATCGCTCTATTCTGAGAAGAAAAAGAAAAGCCTTCCATATGGGACTTGTGACCGGAAGGTGGAAATCCGTTGTCCCCCAATTGCCTGATTGCCTGATTGGCTCCGGTAACGAGGGGTGTGAGGCTGTTGGGCAGTGAGTCGCAGCATTGAAGCTGGAAAGAGTGATGGATCCATCTTGATCAGGGATAAATCTTTGGATCTGCTAAATTGTGTGGATAGGCGTCTTATTTTTGTGTCTCTTCTTGTCTTTCTAGCCAGCCTATCCATCTTGTAAGCGACGGCTTATAAGCTAATCGATGGGGGGTCTAATGACTGTGGTCGCGATGACTACATTAGTGACTTTGCTATGTGGATAGAGATACTAGTTACCATTTAATCCTTCTAACCTAGCCGTCTGTGTAATAATATCTATAGCGTCAGCCATCTACCGGGGAGTGGTCGAGAATAAAAGACGGTAGGCGTATGTTTGATTCCAATCTACCAAGGTTGGACAGGGACAAGATACTAGCCATCAGACTGTGAGGGAGGGCGCATCTTGGTATGTACTCCAAAATCAACTCGGTTATCCCCTGTTAAGATTCCTCTGTCTTTTCTATCCGACGAGCAATAATTGGAGAGTTTAGGCACAGGGTGAGTTTGACACCACCCCAACACCCAAAAAGCTAGCCCGGCCAGTCACCTGCTCTATATATATATACACCCTCTAGACGCCCACACTGATGATCAAGTTTCCCAATGTATATACCCAATAGCAAACGAACCACAAAACTGAAGTTCAGGACTCCAGAGTATAGTCTGAGTAAAATCTATTGATTGCTGGAATTGTCTTGAAGCATATGAGGTATTTATGTGTGAAGATTTCCTTTCCAACCCGACTTGAGATGAGCGGCTACTCATGTAATCCACAGAAATCCATTCGTGTAGAGCCGGACTCATGAGAAGGTAGACAAATCCCACATCCACAACGTATGTAATTGGCCATGGGGAAATGAAAAAGCATTGGAAGTGATGTGAAGTGAAGTGAAAGAGAATAGGCACAATCGAGCACGGCATTCGTTATAGGAAGGGCAGTTGCCTTGGGATTAAAAGCCCCCGTTTGCCGTCAAATAACCTTGTAGCTAATCCGAAGAAGGTACTTTAGTGGGATTCACGGAAGGTCGTGGAGAAAAAAAAAGGCCACAATGAAATCAATCGGACTCAAGGAGAAACTACAAGATTCTCAGAGAAGCTAGTGGAATTTGCACACAAAGAGGGTTCAATGTGCACATGCTATTTTTTTTTTCAATATTTTTTCAGAAGATACGGACTTTCATTAATTTCGTGGCCCCAGATCCGAGACTTTAGCTTGTGTCCGGCAACCTATTTCGGCCCAAGGATACTCCGAACTAATAGCGAAGTTTTTGTGTATGACAGGGAGTGTCTGGCAATCGATTCGTTGCAAGCCAACATTGCTATTTGAAAGAAAGAAGCTACCGAGTTCTCAGTCATACAAAACTAGCACTCTCAATTTGCCTGGCAAATGAGCAAATCAGGGAGTGCGGGATCTAGAACACCTGGTTGATTCATCAAGAACGGCCCTAGGTGAACTGAATTGACTCTAGGAATGCAAAAACTCTCCAACGAACAACATGTGCCGACCTGTGTTCATTCAAAGGGCCTTCGTCTCGGTGGTATGTTGATCTATGGTATTCTACAGACATATATGCCTGCCAAAGTTGATAATGTATCAAATGTCCAATAGCAGACTTAGAGCGTTATATTCGGCCCTTGACCTATGACTAGATTTCTATCTCGCTCTATCCTTCAGAGAGTCAATTGGTACCTAAACAGATAGAAGGAGGATGGTAAAATCTAGTGGATCGAAGTTAGTTTGACGAATTGCAACGTTGACCCTCGCCCTGCTGACAGATTCCTTCACCAAAAGCTATTAAGAGAGCCCGATCCCGCTCCCCCAATTTCCGGTTCCATTAAGGACTTCTTTCGTATCCAAAATCACCAGCCATTTTCTCTTCTACAGAATGAAGGCAGCTCTCTTCTTCCTTGTTTCTGTCAATGGAGCCATAGTGATGGCGACCCCGGTCATTGAATTGAAGACCAAAGCTCCCCTCTCGGCAAGTGGATGCTATCCATTGTAAGTTGACACATACAGACCATATCGAGCAAATTATTGACAGTTTTATAGTGCAGACCCTCATTGCGGTGTTGCTGGCACCTTCTGTCAGTGTACAAATGGTAAGAGCTATCAACTCGTGCGTACATTGACCAATTTGAGCGAAACACACTTAGATGGGCGATAGGTCATTTTTATCTCTTCAATCATGCTACCGGCAACTGTGACCCTCCGTGGGGCTATGTTGGTGACTCGGTCAGATCACTTCCAGGATATCACTGCAGGAACTAAACGGTTTTGCCAAGCCACAAGAGGTCTCTCAATCTCATAGTGGCAGTTGCTTGGTAATATGACGGGAAGTGTCAGCATGCCGCTATGGAATTAAACTACTTCACGTAGTAGGTATTGCTGTTCTGGATGACTTGGACCTTCCTATGGTAGGGGTCATAATCAGCAAGGGGGAGAACTCGAGATCGTGAGCTTGATAAAGTGGAAGGCATGAGTCTAACACGAAGGTCACAGGGCGATTAAAGATTTCCCACCCTACATCGGAATCCTCAGATTAGCAAAGTGTGGCTCACAATCATATGGAGATGGAGAATATTCGCTCATTTCAATCTTGTAAATTTCTGGCAACACATTATAGAGAGATTGATAGATGTAGAACTTGCCGCTTAATCCCCGTTGGGTTGTAAATAGAAATGTCCATAGTATAGTTTACCCCTTTTGCCGTCTTCTATCACCCTGCGGCGCACACTCAAACGCTAAAAGCGTAAATGTTAACTTGGGATTTTCTCGTGGGATATGAACCACTGGCAATGAAAACATCACTTTCTTTCCACACGAAGCCCCTAATAATAAGGTTTTGTGTTGAACGAAATATAGCGTACTTTCCACTAGACCATGACAAAAACCAAGGTTCCTGTTTATGGCCTAGGGAGGCCGTATTTGAGGTTTGACATTTTGTACCAAATTTTTCAGGTATTTATAGAAATCCTTGGCAGTTGAACAGCCTGCAGAAAGCCATAACCCAGCGTTATTTACACTAACAAAGATTAGTCCAGCTTTGATGAAAGTTCAGTCAAAGGATATCAGGCTTAAGTCCCTGTTTTTTCCTGGTGAACTTGTCTTGGATGTTGGAAATATTATACTAGACCACATCAAAAGCCATAGTCTCTGTTTGTGGCTTAGAGGGAGCCTACTTCTTGGGTTGACATTAGACACCAAATCCGCTCCAAAAGAGGCCAAAGAGGTGTTGCATTTCACAAATGAAGCTGAAAAATTTTCTTGCTTTATAAGAATAATTTACTGACATAAGATTTCCTAAATATAGTAGTGGTGCAAAAATCTAAGCTGGAAGAGACGTCTATACTTCGGACCTTTTCGGCGCCGATCTCATGATGAGTCACCAATGAGTCAGCACTCGTCCGACTGCAATCAACTTGGCCCCTAGGATGGGTGTCGAAATATCGACGCGAGCAACGGACAGGCGTTCATCAGTCATCCAAATTGAGTACAACAAGATCAACTTTCGATAAAGCTCTTACATCGATCCTGGTTGAGCTGCACATCCCTCTGTCAGCATCTCAATAGGAGCCACCTTCAACCCGCCTTGCGACCGAACTCAAAATGGCACACGGCGCAGAGGACTGCGCAACTGTCCTGGAGCAGTTTGTCCACGATGTGGCGAATCTTCCAGCCGAGATCAATCATCTCATGGAAGAAATTCAGGCCAAGGATAAGGTCATGCAGGAGTGCCGCGCTATAATCAACTCTCGCGACAGCAGCATCCAGAAATTCATCAAGCTGAACGGCAGTCTGACGCCAAACCCTAAGGAAGAGTCATACAGCAAGACCATCCTACAGAATATGGACAGATCCCACGAGTTGCAGAACGAGAAGATCCAGCTCAGCGAGAAGGCATGCGTCCTCCTTGATCGCCAGATCAAACGACTCGACGTGCGCATTCGCGATCTAGTCAACGAAGGTCTCCTCACCAACGACCCACCTCTCCCTTCGCTCTTCGACTCCAAAAACAAATATCGCAACCCACCCAAGATCTTCCTCCCTGACTCCACCCCATCCGACTCCCCTGCCTACTCAACACCCCTCAACCCGACTTCCGGGAATGCCAATCCTATCCTGGCTGCCGCGCAGCGCTTGAACCAATCTACAACTCCCCGCGCCACTGGATCTGCAGCCCAGCTTGGACAAATCACAGCACGCAGTTCCGCGCCGGCTACTCCAGCAGCAGCCGTCGTACACCTCCAGCAACGCCAACGCGAATCCTCTGCCGGAGCCGTGGACAGCAAGCGCCGCCGCTTGAACCCCTCCCTCAATACCCTCCCAGTAGCCTCGTCGAATCTGCGCCAGTCTTCCATGGGTCCTGGTACACCGAAGCCTGGTACACCGGCTGGCAGCCGTGCGGGCAGTGTCGGCCCCCGTGCTAGCATCGGCATCAAGAAGGCGTTGACCAAGAAGGTCGCACCGCACCAGCAAGTCAAGAAGCTGAAGACGGCGAGCGGGAAGCTGATTAAGCGCTCTTCCAGTGCCAGTGGCCGTATCAAGACTTCGAAGAAATCTCCCAATGGAGAAGGCGACGAGGATGATGACTCCATGCTCAGTAGTGCTGATACATCGGACTCCGACAAGAGTGATGGTGCTGCTGATGAGGATGTTGACGATGATGATGAAGATGAGGGTAATGAGGATTCGAAGGTCTATTGTACCTGCCGCACTGTTAGCCACGGGGACATGGTGGCTTGCGATAATGACGAGTGTCCGTATGAGTGGTTTCACTGGAAGTGTGTTGGATTGACACGCGAACCGGTTGGGACTTGGTATTGTGATGAGTGCAGGCGTACTCTAGGCAAGTGATTACCTCTTTTCTTCTTTTTCTAAGATCTGTATGACGGTTGATAGATACCCACGGCGTTTGAGGGACTTTAATGGTTATTAGGCTGGACTGCGCTGGACAAAGACATCCTTTAGTTTTACTGCAATATGAAAATATTAAAACAGAATCAATTTCCATAATTCTGCCTATTCTAGAGAAAAACTGACACTAATCCCCGGGGGAAATCAGATGGCAAAAGGTCCCCCTAGATATTCATTCCCAGCTATAGCCCAGCGTATGTCCAAGCCGTGCCCATCCAGCGCCCAATTTTCCCAGGGCCACCAGTGAGCCGGAGCCAAACCAAATCAAGTCGAAAACGCCATCGCTATGCACATATCCCCCTTCTTTTTTGTTTCTTCCATGCAAACTTGTTGGCACACAGGCGCACACAGTACGCCGAAAGTCAGAAATCAGATATTTGTGGAAAAGCCATTGCCGGCCCATCCACTCAGAACCCAAGGCCATTGCTCAGCCATGGATCGAAGTACTCGCAGGTCTCGGGGCTCACTGCGCCGCCTGGAGCGCAAAGCCGGAATACTGGGCACTGGCCGCAGGGAGCTTCGGTCATGCCGTTCTTCACGAGGTGCTTGCTTGCAGCGGAGAGATCCTCACCATCAACGGGCGGCTTGCGGGACTGGTTCGCTTTGACGGCCTCGGGGCTCTTGAGGGATCTGTACCACTCGCCGTTGCCTAATGCAACAAGCTTGTTGTCGAAGCAGAGCATTTCGAGGAGTTGCACGACACTCTCTTCGCCCAGCCGGACCGGTGTGATTCCACTTTCGTTGACAGCCGAGGTGATTTGCGCCACGGTCGGGTATCCGGCGTAGCCGTGGGGGTAGGGGAGGTAGGTTTTCTCATCGGACTTGACGTCCGCCTTGCCGGAGGCGGTTTTGATGCGCTTGTTCTTGCGGTCCGAGGCTGGGACTTCGTACCAGCTTTTCCGGCTGACGGTGTACTCGATATAGCCTGCAACGCTGTTGATAAAGTTGGCGTCCAGTACACCGTCTGTGAACCACGCTCCTCCAGTTACTTCTTCGCTCGGAGCAAGCCCAGCCAACATATACATCTTTCGGCTGGGGTATTTGACATTGTGGAGGGATTTGATGTAGTTTTTTCCTTCAAGGGCTTTCAGGCATCGGTCGAGGATTGACTTGTGCAGGTTCGTGCGGTTTCCGATGTGCCGCACCCAGATACCTGTTCGTTCTGTGGAGTGGATGACATTATAGACCATGGCCTCGTCCGGGGTGAGGTTGCGGAGCCTAAAGGGGAGCAGGGATTAGTTTTCTGGTTTACCGATTCAAGAATGCATGCATTTCCTACTTCTCAGCATCCTCGCGGTCTATGAGCTTCCATGTGAGCTTTCCATCTTTTTGGAGGAGTCGAAAGAGATTTTGATTGACGAGGCTCTGTGTGCATTCTAACAGTAGCGCAACGTCGTTCTTTGGGATCACTTTGAGATTGAGAAAGTCGTTCTGATAGAACAGGTGATCGGGCTCAAATTCATTAACGCATGCATCGTAAAGCTTGGAGGCAAGCTCGGCCACTTGAGACCCCGCGGAGGCCATTGTTGGAAATGCGACAGAGATATCAGGCAAAATCAAGGTTCATTTGAAGGGGCTCGTGGTTTTTCATGTTCAAGGGAGTGTGTCAAAGCCGGAAAGTAAGCTAGAGGACCATGGTGCGTCGGTGTCGGTAAATTTTAGTCACGAATGAATCACAAATGGTGTTTTTTTTGGCGACTTTTTCTCGGCGGGGACGGGGATGACCTAAAAGGGTTTAGCTTTGTGGAGCTCCAATGGCAGCGTTGATGCCTGAGGTATCTGTTGCCTGAGGCAGTGGATCGCAACGGAAATTTCGAGAAGCTCCGACCGACTGAGCTATTGACCTCAGCACTTTCAGCTCCTTGTGGTTCTTGTTTTGATCTGCATCTCTCCTTATTTGAGCAACTTACCATCTCACTACAATAATGGCTGACGCTTTGAAGGCAGAGGGCAACAAGGCCTTCTCTGCTAAGGACTATTCTACTGCTGTGTACGCGCTACCCCACCTTCAACAATTTGACACCGTCAAAGCAAAAACTGACAAAAACCAGTGAGAAGTTCTCTCAAGCCATTGCCATCGAGCCCGAAAACCATATCCTCTACTCCAACCGCTCCGCTGTCTACACCGCCCAGAACGAATATCAAAAAGCCCTTGAAGACGCCGAGAAGGCGATCGAGATCAAGCCCGATTGGTCTAAGGGCCATGTCCGCAAGGGTGCCGCGCACCGCGGTCTCGGAGATCTTTGTACGTTATTCTGGTTGCGCAAAAATTGTTGGAACAAGTTGCATTGTGAGAAGGTGCTAACTGACGCCAGTGGCTGCGCACGATGCCTACGACGAGGCCCTGAAGATCGAGCCTGGTAACGCACAGGCCAAGTCCGGTCTGGAGGCGACCCAGCGCGCCATCAACGCGGAGGCTACCGCAGATGGTGTCAGTGGAGACCCAACAGGAGGTCTTGGTGGCATGTTCAACGACCCGGCTCTATTCCAGAAGCTGGCCAACAACCCCAAGACCGCCTCCCTGCTGGGAGATGCTGAGTTCATGGCTAAGCTGCAGAAGATCCAACAGAACCCCAACAGTGTTGGAGAGGAGATCCGCGACCCGCGCTTCCTGCAGGTCATGAGTGTCCTTCTCGGTATTGATATGAACTTCGGTGGGGAGGGGGCCGAGCCTCCTACCCCTGCCGCTAAACCTACCACCTCGCAACCCAAGAAGGAGCCCACCCCGGAGCCCGAACCAATCGACGAGGAGGCGCTGGCGAAGAAGCAAGCCAAAGAGGCTGCCGATGCCGAGAAAAAGATTGGTAACGATTTCTACAAGAAGAAGCAGCTTGATGAGGCTATTGAGCACTACACCAAGGCCTGGGATCTGTACAAGGACATCACCTACCTTAACAACATTGGTGCTGCCAAGTTCGAGAAGGGCGATTATGAAGGCACAATCGAGACCTGCCAAAATGCCATCGAGGAGGGTCGCGAGTTGCGGGCCGACTTCAAGCTGATGGCCAAGGCCTATACCCGAATTGGTTCTTCACACGAGAAGCTCGGCGACCTCGCCAAAGCAATTGACTTTTACAACAAGTCGCTTATGGAACATCGCACCCCTGATACCCTGACCAAGCTCCGCAACGCTGAGAAGATCAAGATCACAACCGAGAAGAACGCCTACATTGACCCTGCCGAGGCTGAAAAGGCCCGCGAGCTCGGTCAGCAGAAGTTCCAGGAAGGTGACTGGCCTGGCGCCGTTGACGCCTTCACCGAGATGACGAAGCGTGCCCCCAATGACCCCCGTGGTTACTCCAACCGTGCCGCTGCCCTCATCAAGCTCATGGCATTCCCCGGTGCCGTGCAGGACTGCGACGAGGCCATCAAGCGCGATCCCAAGTTCATCCGCGCGTACATGCGCAAGGGTGCTGCCCTGATCGCCATGAAGGAATACAACCGTGCGCTGGATACCTTCACCGAGGCCTCTGACCACGACGACGGCAAGAACGCTCGCGAGATCGAGCAGCAGCAGCAGAAGTGCCTGGATGCCCAGTTCAGCGCTCGCGCTGGTGAGACTGAGGAGCAGACCATGGCTCGTATTCAAAATGACCCCGAGGTAAGATCCGCCCTGAACGAAGTGGTTTAAGCTTGAATTAAACTAATGTTTTCTCCAGATCATGGCCGTCCTCCAGGACCCCGTTATGCAGAGCATTCTCCAGCAGGCTAAAAGCGATCCCGCCGCCTTGCAGGAGCACATGAAGAACTCGCAGGTGCGGATGAAGATCCAGAAGCTGATGGCTGCTGGTGTTATCCGCATGGGGCGGTAAACGCTTTAAGGGTGTGGAGCATTCGAGAATTTGAATACGAATTGACACGATATATCTTTACCAGCATATTTTTTTTTAAGTTCCATCTTGCTAAAATTCCATTCTGCTTTCATGCACCAATCTTCCAATAGTACCCAACACTCTCAACTAGGAGCCCACAGTACCTGTCAAGATTGTGTCTTGGACTACTTGCAGCAAAATTGCAATGGTTACAATGCAACCCTCCAGACCAGTTTTCGCAACATTACGTCTCCTCTCAGTCAGAATTGCATTGTACAACACAAGTAGCGGACACCAGCCCTGAGACTGCTCTTGTCAAACCTCAGCTTTCGCTGGACGCGTGGAATTAATCCACCTGGGCAGAATTTAACCCGAGGCCAAAGTGAAAAAAGACGAAAAAGCGCCACGCAAGTGGATGAGTGGGGGGGATTTCCCAGCCAAAAAAAAAGATCATCTTACTAAACTACTGCATCTACCCAATCATAACATCACCACCGGGGGGGGGGGGGGATTCAGTATCCTGGGTTTTCTTTTATCGCGTAGCACAAACCCACATTACGGACAACACACAGAGTTGGTGTGGAAATAACCTCCCAGAATGACCAAGTGCAAGGCCAGATGTGATGTGATGGATCGATTCATGCAGCTAAGCTTGTCTATCACTTTTCCGTATGGATGGTGCAAATGTACTTTTAATACGGAGTACCTGTGCAGTTTAACATATGCTCTTTAATTGTCGATGAGATTGACGTTACAAGGTATGGAGCACGTACGGAGTACTCTAGAGAGGTTCGGTACACTCAACCCGTTCTCTATAGAGCCACAGCACACCTTTTAAGATTTAGCCGATCTACCTAATCGGGCATAGGGCATGATGTGCAGTAGTGTGCGATGGGTTGGATACATGCCACGTGTTCGGAGTACATCTAGATTGTTCAGATTGGAAGGAATTGACTAAGTTGTCGACCATGATAACATACCATACGGAGTACAGAGTACAGGGTATAGAGTACAAAGTACAGATCACAGTCCACGGAGTATACCTGTAGGATTCACTCACCTCCACCCAGATCTTTTAGCTCGTAAATAGCGTGGTATGTAATTTGGTATTTTATTCAGATGGAAATA